TTTTTTTAGTAACCGATTATTAAAAATCGTCGTTTAAAAAAACGTTTTTAAGTTCGTTTGAAAAACTCCAACTTCCTCATCAATCTCGGGGAGTTCGTTGCTCAATATCTGCCGAGTGGAGACAAAGACGAAACAGCACCTGTTGCGTAGGCAAATAAAATTTTGATGCTTTTCGTTGTTGCCGAAACCGTGTTCTTGCCATAGAGAGATCGAGCTTAACCAATCTCACAGCTTCCCTTTGCAAAACAAGCTTCTTTTACTGCCGAGTAACTCCAGTTGGAAGTGATATAATATATAAGGCCAGAGGACAGGGAAATCGACATTGCAAGTCGCGTCTCCAAGCAAAACCAAATCCAGCGCATGAAGCGAAACAGCGTCATCATTGAAATCGGGATAACATATCGTGATAAAGCATAAGAAAGGTATCGGTTTTATCAATTAGCTTTTCCGTTCCTCACCGATGCCAGTTAATTAAACGAATACTAAAACTGCACCTCGTTCATATCCTTTGGTATGACAATTTGCGTGAGCACGTAAAAAATCTCAGTCAACAAAATGAGTTAAGAAGTTTGATAGTATTTGCATTTGAAACATTACAGTGTACATGTACCAATAGCCCAAAAATAAAAATGACGTGGCGCAAATTTTAATTTTTTTGCAGCTGACTACAAAGCTGATTCAACTCTAAACGAAACAGTGCTCCGCTCCGTACACTCTGCCCTCTGGAGTGATTAGAGCTCTTTCAAACACACGACTCACGTCTTCGAGACTACCGAATAGACGCAACATTGGCGTGACCAAGTCTAACAGGGTCACGACCTTCACTACTCGATCCGTCTGCGTGTCCCAGTCGAACGATACCGAACCTTGCACGACAAGGTGGCGACCCAGCAGTTTAACTGCAAGCGGACACCACGCCCCGCCTCTAACACCGCCATGTCCGTCGCTATTCAGATGCGGGAACGCTTGTCGAAGCGTATTGCTGGAAATCGTAATGCTTGTGGTGGTACTAGCAATCAGAGAATCGAACAGAGCTCCGGTCTCCAAGCGCCCCACTTGAACATAGACGTCCTCGAAGCAGAGCGAAAAGAGTTTCCAGTTTCTTAACAGAGCCTGAGGTCCGCACTCAAAGCCATTTGTAACGTCCGGCGCCATTGATACCATTAGGAATTTCAGTGCAAAAGCGTCCAGGGCCTCTGGTGGTGATCTGAACCCGTGGCGGAACAATCGGAAATATTCCGCTGCAACACTCCAGACAGTCTGTTGCGTTGGAATACCCACTGTCACGCTGTGATGCTGCAACTCAAGGCCCTTGATATCCTCTTGAAGTTTGCAAATGTCATCTTCTAGATCCGCCAGTAGCTGGCGCTGTTTGTTCATGTATCGCTGCTGATTCACTCGACAAACCTCTCGGCGGCGTATTTTGCGTCGGAGGAGTTCTTCTGGAGTCACTTTCCGCCTTTTCCTCGAAGATGGCAAGATATCTGCTGTCGATCTGAATGTCCTTTTAGTAGATGCACGCGAGATATATTTGCTGGACTGAGTAAATGTTGAGGCAGGATCGGATTCGTCTTGGACAATGTAGCTCATGTTGGTAGGGTTGGTACGCTGAATTACGTTTCGAATCACCTCGTCGCTGAAAGAGCAGTTGTTCGGAGGATACAACGAGCAGGCGTCCATTGGAAGTTGTTCTTGGGGAGGGGGCTTGGTTGGGCTTGCAGGAAATTCCGAAATGACCAGCACAAAAGTCTGTTTTTGAGGTGATTTGTCTGAGTCGACGTGGAGTGATCAAGCCAATGAGCTTCCTAGGTGCTCATAATATGCACCTTCCTGTGATCATTCATATGGGTTGATTATTCGAAGTTATGTTTATGGTCTTTTCCCCAATGTCGCTCAATGCGAGTATTCGATGACACGGAAAAAGAAAAGTGTATAGCTCCATCAAGAGCTACATTCTCAGCAGACTGTGTCATGGAAACACCATCTATCAAATAGAATTGAGAGGGCTCGTCATAATATGAAGGTCTGCTGAAACTTAAAAAATAATCTGGAGATGCAGTATCGGTCATTTGACGGACAAATACGTCATTTCGGTTCTAAAAAGCATTTATAGTTTTTGTGATTTACGTTTATTAGTCCTCCTCAAAGGAGTCCAAAGAACTGTAGTACTTTTAAGTACTACTTTTACAGATTACGACAGTGAGTTACCACACTTCCTCCAGCCGCTAAAAAACGAGTAAGTAGTCGATTGTGCATAGCACGGCAACGTTTCCAAGCTGCCGTATTCGACCATCGTCAACTCTCGTTACATTAGTCACTGTCGAGTGCTACTACCGTAATAACTCGCTTCAGAATAAGAAGCGCCAACGCATATTCTGCTGCACCAATAACCACTTCCGGGTCACGTTCGTCACTCGCACCCTAGCGTCACACTCCGGTAGACGATCAGAAGACAATGGCATCAAACATTTCGAAGATCACGGGTTTGCAGCATCCGGGAACGACGTCTGGCCCCCACGGTGGAGCAATCGCTTGTGCTGGCCAGGGCAACACTGTCTTACAAGAAGACGAAGCCAAAGCCCTCATCGGTCAAAGTGTATGCTCGTCTCACAGTATCTTGCTTGTAGCAGAAGCTCAATTCGCGTATTTAAGCAGCTTCAACTCCATGATTTCGAGGGTGGCGCAACAACACCCCTGTCTATTTTTTTTTTTTTTCTGTGATGGCCATTTCAACAGTTCTGCACAACACAACGCGTACACTATGTACAGTAAATATGTAAGTGCATGTAATGTAGAACGGTAGTCATGGAATTTGACAATCGGAATCGCTCATTCTCCATTATCATTACACAAACTTCCAGCGATTTCCTGACCCGAGTATTGGACTTAAACTTGTGGCTAACGCTTGTTAATGGATTTTGCAGAAGATTGCGATTGTCTATGAACGAAAAGGGAGCATCCAGATATTCGACTGCACGCTCCACACGTAGTGCACGACACGTAGACGACACTGGACCCTATTTTTTCATCCACTCTGTGACTGTTGGCTGCTTCAGCAGCTCTGCGTGATACAGCTCCTTATCGTAGCCGTAGTCAAAGAAAAGCTGTACATCCGGGTAAACTACGAGTCAGAGGCCTGACTAAATGGATCATCAAAGTATTACACTTGATAGCGAGTCTGCGTACCTCTGTATGTGGCTGAATGTCGTGAATTGCATATAACCCGATGCGGAAATCACTGCTGACGTTCATAATCTTGCACGCGCAGTTCGGATTCTTGGAGTGGTTAATAAACTAAATCCAACAGGACGATCGTTAGATGATCAGATTAACTAAAAGATGCAACGACATGATACGTACTCTGGTCTTGTTGCCCTTCCGCGTAGAGTCGATGACAGTTTTGGTATCCAGATTGAATAGATAACTAAGCGAAAATTAAGTAATAAACACAAGGTAAGTACAACAACCCAATGCAAGAAAGAAAGTGTTGCTGTACCTGCGGTCGACCTTGTCGTAGACAGCTCCACGTCTATCAGCCTCTTCTTGTGACACCATCTCGCCAATGTACTCGATAATAAATTCATCCTTGGCAACAAACTCTTCTACGAAGAGTCCCCAGCCAGCAGCGCTGAGCTTTGAGCGGCCCATTCGGACGTGCTTTTCTTTGGATAACGCGATACTGCGGTTTTGGCACGATGTTTGCTGCTTCTCGTCCTTGTTCATTGTGTCCGATTTGCTGTCATACGGCTCACCCTTCTCGCGCGCAGCAATTTCGTCTGTGCAACACACCTTGCACAGATCGACATCACACTCGCGACCGGCGCAGTAGCAGGGGCATGCCTTAGTACGACAACGACCACGTTGACACTGGCATCCAGGAAAGAAAATCTTGCAGTGCTCGTGGACGCAGTGGCAGTGCTTCGAACAGAATATACCGTCTTCGACACAGGAGCAAACACCTGGTTCACAGGGACCCTCGTGGGAACACGGCTCGATTCTACGATTCCAAGACACACACACAACACATGAGTTCACTGTACAAAATACGCAGCGAATGAATATGCAATATGTTACGTACTTGATCTGAACAGAGTTCACCACGCCGTTTTGAGAATCTGTCGTATCGTGTACAACGCAATAAACAAGGTCAGCAGCAGCAAAATCTTCTATATCAGCACAAGCAATCGAATATAATGTGCAACCCAGCAAAAAGCTCGAGAACGGTGGTCTCTTGCGCCTCAAGGGGAGCATTAAGGGGGGGAGCATAGCTCAATATATGTCACTAAATGTGGCCGCAGTGCTTTGATCTTGAGCATTGCAGCGTATCTAGGGTGACAATAGCACATACAGACCTACTCTACTATAACACACACACGTACTCTGTAGATGGGAAATCGACATCCGTGAATTCTTCTTCTTCCGCGAGCGTCGACTCTTCGGTGGAGGACGAACCTAAGCCGTAAACAATTCGCTCATTAGGCCAGGCTTTTCCTATGGTATCATTTCTCACGCTTACCTCTTTTGGCAAGCTGCGATCGTTGATGTCGTAGTAGGCACACATCTCCGCAACTTCCATGCAAGTTTTATCGCCCAGTATCTTGGCCATTTCACAAAAGTTGCCCGAGCAAAGAAAATAAGTACGCGCACAAAGAATGCGCGCCTGTTTGTTCCATCCAAAGGTGGCCGAGATAGCACTGGCCTTGGAAAAGCCATTGGCACTCGATGAACTCATTTGGCCGAGGAAGCAATGGTTCCCGCAGTTCCGCCCTCTGTTGATCATCGTCTCCTTCTCCTTCAGATTCAACGCCACAGCATTTTGCTCCGAGATTTTCTATGAGTCACATTAAACGTGTCAGTTTGTCCGTGAATAAAGACACAGTCAGCCATGAATTCTTCTTACCAGCTTCGGCTGCTCGATACATCCATGATAGTCACAATCGTAGACACAGCAGCGTCGACAGAATAGACCTGACAGCAGAATCGACAGTGTAAATGCCGCGAATACATCTGCTAGCAACAAATACGATGCCACGTACTGCGGTAGGAGTCGACCGATTGCTCGTAAAGCTCGAAATACTTCTCCATCGAAATATTCGTCTGGTCGGCAAAGTCCAAGTCTCCGTTAGGCAACGTCGAGTTGGTCTGCGTATTAGCAGCCATCGCTTCTGTGCGTCGTTTCTTCTTCGCTGCGCGTTGCGATACACGTAGGTTCTTGTGTACCTCCACTAAAACCTCTTCTTCAACATGAATGACGCTCGCCACGCGCTTTAGATCGCTAGAAGTGAGGTCCCATGTGGACTGGAGAGTCCTCAGCACACCTTCACACATTTCCTTGGTGAATTCCACTTCGCACGCGCTCGTTCTCTGCTGTCTATATAATATTAGACATCAATTCCGTCAGTCTGCGTTCTGAACTCCTTAAAAGATGTAATCCTCACTTGATCTGGTAGAACTCGGACACGACGTCCTCTTCGTCGTCATCGCCAAAATATGGTAGATACTTCAGCGTTGGTTCATCTTCCACCTCGTAATTTTTAGTTAGCGCCGTCCACATCGTCGCCGTTGGGATTGGGGGCACCTTGGGCAGAATCACTGCACTCTTTTTCACCGTCATGCTGGGATTAATCAAGTTGAACTTAACCTTGTCTCTCACGTGTAGATCCGGTTCAATTGGCAGCTCCGATGCTGTCAAACATAGATAATTTTGGCAATAATAATTAGCTTCAATGAATACTGAAATATTATTTTTGCATTGTGACGCACTCTGTACTGTGATGCCCTGTAGCACTTCGAGCGATAGGTCATCTCTCGGTACCAGGCACGCCTGTCGTCTACGCCGCTGCTCAATCCTGTACAGTGAGGCTTTGAGCCGGTTACGCGCCACCACCATCTACACAATAATTGCACAATATTTGTATCCATGTGACGACCATCGAAAATCATAAAAGTAGTCCACTCCAATCAAATAAGCTGCGTACACTGGCAGCGATCTGATGTGAGCGGACGACGTGGTTGAATGCCTCGGCAGCCTGTGCGCACAGCTGCTCCTCCATCTCGGACTCGGAAGGTTCAGAGGTCTCTCCGTCCTCCAAGTCATATATCCTCTTCCGGCTCTCATATTCGTCGTCCCGAGGCATATTTGCAATTGCCTCCAAAACCTAATTGCGATTGTTAAAGTTGCTGGAAAGTTGCGCTGTTTTTTCTTCTTTTTTTCATTTCACCAACATCGTGTGGAGCACATAATTTAGTGTGCAACGTCCCAATATCGATCTGTTTGGCTGGCGGACACAGTATCGGACGGATGGTTGCCGGCGACAAGAAGGCGGTCTTCGCCACGCGCTCACAGCGCACGCTGGTGCTGAGCATCGTGCGCGAGGACTTCGGCGATGTAGCGGAGAACGTGGCCGAGGCGCTGCTGCGTTCCGAGGGCATGAGACTGGCCGAGATCGCACACAAGTTGCAGCGCCAGACAACGGCATCATCCTCGGCGCCTTCTGTGCACGAGGTGCGTAAAATGCGGCCGTCTTAGGTGGTGTATTGCTATTTTAAAAGATACTAATATGTTGTTATGCTGCTGGTATGAAGATCAAATGTGCGCTGCTCAAGTTGCTGCAGCACAATGTGCTGGACGTGACGCCCGTGGCTACACCTCGAGGTGGCTCGCCTGCTGTCGCTTACAATGTACGTTGTGCAATTCTATATTATCCTTATTAGTGGCAATTTATTGATCATGTTTTTGTGTTACTTGCGCCAGATTAACGTGCAGGAAGCGCTGTATCGCCTGCGGTTCCCCAAGTTTATCGAACTGGCCAAGGAGACGTTCGGCTTGGAGGGCGAGGTGGTTATGGAAGAGGTTCTGGTGCAAGGACGCGTGCGAATGGACCAATCTCTCGAAACAATGGCCTATAATTTAGCAGAGCAGCGGCGTCAGGAGCAGAAGTTAAAGACGCAGGAGGACGGAGAGCAGGCTACAGCTGCGGAGGAGGAGGAAATCAGTGAGGAAGAGCTGGACGAATGCCGTCATCTGGTGCGCGAGACGTTCGTGGAGATGGCTAAAAAGCGCTACATCTCTCGGGTGCATCCTCTGGACCTAAAGGTGGCAGAACCAGAAGAAACCCCGGACTTCCCTGCCAGTATCATGCGCGGACAGGATAAGGGCTCTACCAGCAACCTAAACAGCAAATCTGCGGTAGCTACGGCTGCTAATGGCGCTGGAAATGGCTCTAATGCGAACGGAAAAGCTGCTGACGAGGACGGGATCACAGTGCGTGGCAAGAAGCGTAAAGCTCCGTCTCCGCCTTCTGGAAATACGGTCCCTGTGGAGCTACAAATGATGCTGGATGCTGATGAAGCGGCTCGTAAAGAGAAGGACGACTCGGAAGCTGAGTGGGAACCCAGTTCAGCCTCATCGTCGACGTCTTCACGTGGCTCCAAGCGTAAGAAGAACTCGAAGCGTGCGAAGCTCCCCACTCGAGGCACATCGTCTGGAGACGGCACTACCGGTGGCGAAACCAGTGGTGAAGACGCGCCGGACGGCTCTGGAGCACACACGGACGAGCGTTCCTTGGTGTGGCGCTTTGGCGTGACTCAACTTCTGCGTGACCTACGACACAAGGCTTGCATTAGGTTTGCGACAGAGAATATCAACGCTGTTGCCGGTGTCATTGTGACGGCCATGCTGCAGCATTCAGCCCCGCGTGAACGTGAAAAAGACGAACCTACCTCAGCTCCAGTGTCGGCGCGTGATCTGTTCAACATGGAGAGTGTCAAGAACGCTCTACCTCCTGAGGCAAACAATCCGTGGCGACTGTTGCTCAACTACATTATGGTCATGTGTCGTGACAAGTCCGGTATGGTGATGAAGGTCGCGCAGGAGGCGTTCGACCCAACCCAGGCGCGCGCAGGCGACGGTGGTCAATATGTGGTGCACATGCAGAAGATCGTGGAGTTCTTGCAACAAGCCACGACTCACGCGTACATCCAGGACAAGTATGGGGTTGCGAGCGCTCGTATCGTGCGTCTGCTGATGGAGAAGCGCCAATTAGAACAGAAAACGATCGGCGAGTTGGCGCTGCTGCCGTCTAACGATGCGCGGCACCGGCTGTACGAGTTGTACACAGACAAGTTGCTAAAGATGCAGGAGATCCCGAAGCGCGCCGACCACAACCCAGCCTTCACGTTCTTCTGTTGGTCAGTGGACGTGCCGCAGATGCAGGCGCGTATTACGGAGCGCGTGCAGGACTCGCTGTGCCGTCTTCGTCGTCGACGTAAGTTCGAGGCGGAGGAGAACAAAGAGCTCATTGCGCGGTCGGAGCAGCTGGTTGAGGCCAACGATCTGGACAAATTCGACAAGCTCAGCCGCTCGCTCGACCGTCTCGACCGTGCCATTATCCACTTAGACGGTATGCTGATGTTGTACCGCGATTTCTAGCCCCAAGAGTTGATACCTGCAGCCGGCAGACGTAATATATCTGGAGCTAGCCTCGTTTTGCCGTTCGTGCCGTCCCATTCCAGTGCTGTAGTGTGGTGCGTTCCTCTGTGTATTGACTCGTTGGTCGTTGCTGTATTGACACCATATTTAGTCGCCGTCGTCTCGCTCCATTCCTCGAAACGACAAGCTCGCCGTACTCGGATCTTCCAGACCGATGGACTACTATGAGCTGCTCCAAGTTCCTCGTGGCGCTACCGAGCAGGAGATCAAGAAAGCGTAAGTGCGTCAGCTGCAATGTCGAATTTCTTGCAGTATGCTGAGTTGTTGTGCTTGGTCGGATAGCTATCGCAAACTTGCGATGAAATGGCATCCTGACAAAAACAAGAACAACATGATGGAGGCTCAGTACCGTTTCCAGGAGATCTCGGAGGCTTACGACGTGTTGAATGATCCAGAACGTCGTGCCATCTTCGACCAGTACGGCTACGACGGTCTCAAGAACGGAGTACCGGACGAAAACGGCGACATGCGCGACGGCTACGCCTTCAACGAACGAGCGTCCGAGGACGTGTTCAATAAGTTTTTCGGAACGAACAACCCGTTCGGTGACTTCGGATTTGGTGATACACTCCCGTTTGCGAACTCTCTGCGTAAGAAAGGTCCCAAGAAAGCGGAGCCCATTGTGTGTGATCTGGTATGCACGTTGGAAGAGCTGTTCCTGGGGACGTCCAAGTCTACGGTCGTTGCACGCAAACGACTGCAGAATGACGACTTGGTTGACGACGCCAAGACTTTCGTGGTCAAGATCAAGCCTGGCTGGAAGGCTGGCACCAAGATCACGTTCGATCGGGAAGGCAACGAGACTCGAACCAACGAAGCTGGAGATGTGGTCTTCCAAGTGGTGCAGCAAGAACACAATCTGTTCAAGCGTGACGGTGCTCACCTTGTGTTTACGGCCAAGTTGAAGCTGAGCGAGGCATTGGGCGACTACTGCGTGGAGGTGCCGACGTTGGATGGTCGCAAGCTGGCCATATCATGCAACGAAGTGGTGAATCCCAGCTCAGAGAAGGTGGTGAAGAATGAAGGCATGCCGATCTCTAATAAACCAGGCGAACGCGGCGATCTGCGCATCAGATTCGACATTACCTTCCCTCGCCATCTCACGACACTCCAGAAGACAGCTCTAGCAAAAATCTTAGGCTAGCAGGCATTAATATCTCACAACTGAAGAGTAAGCATTCGTTTTCTAGTTCGTACCAACCGTAATATCGGGTAGTTGATTGAATATTTACTACAAGCCCCCAAGACCGAAAAGTATTCACCAAAAGGTCCTACATGAGCTCACTGCACAAATACAAAACATAATACAGTTAGTAAATGTTTCAAACAGCAACCATCATCACAGAAGCCACTTACTAAGCAGGGCCACCTCCGCCCTCAGGGACAGTCCAGTTGATGTACTCCTTGGGCATCTTGATTGAGCAGCATTTGCAGTGGACGCAGTTCTGGGCGTTGATCACAAGCTGCGGCACGCCGTTGGCCTCGCTACCATCCGTGTATTCGTAGACACGAGCGGGACAGAATCGCTGCTCCGGGCCAGCGTACACAGGGAACGACTCCTTCGAGGGAACCTCCGTGTGCTCCGGTTTAATGCGCAGATGAGCAGGTTGGTCGTGGTTGTGGTTGGTACCGCTGCGCTGCAGGTTCGAGAGCAGGTCGAACGTCAAGTTGCCGTCGGGCTTCGGATACTCGATGGGTGTGAACTCCTTTGCCGGGCGCGTCTTGGCCGAGTCTGGCTCGGTGTTCGGGATAGTCCATGGCTCCCTTCCTCTGAGGACGTGCGTCGCCACTCCAGCGTGTAGCAGACCAGGCAGAAAGCCCTTGTGGAATCCAGCGTGCACGTTACGCACAGCCTTGAGCTCCTCGGCAATCCAGGAGTCCTCCACAGCAGCCTCGTAGCTCGAGATGTCAATAGCTGGCTCCTCAGGGTTGATCTCCGCCGTCTCGGCGACAGGCTCTGCACCAGTGGCAGTCAAAGCCTCATACGCAGCCTCAGCAGCAAGCATTCCGGACTTCATAGCAGTGTGCGTGCCCTTAATTTTCACGCCGTTCAGGAAACCAGCCGAGCAACCAATCAAACCGCCGCCAGGGAACGTCAGCTTCGGGATAGCGTGATAACCGCCTTCATTCAAGCAACGAGCGCCGTACTGGATGCACTCGCCACCTTCCAGGTACTTCCGGATCGCCGGGTGAGTCTTAAACCGCTGGAACTCCTCGTACGGGTTGATGTACGGGTTCTCATAGTCCAGACCAACAACCACACCGATCTGCACGAGATCCTCCTCCATGTGGTACATGAAGGAGCCACCGAACGTCTTGTCCATCAGCGATTGCTGCAATGGCCAGCCGAGCGTGTGCTGAACAAGACCAGCCTGGTGCTTCTCCTTGGGGATACGCCACACCTCCTTCACGCCAATACCGTACGTCTGGGGCTGCACACCTTCGCGCAAATTGAACTTTTCCATCACTTCTTCACTGCACGAGCCACGGCAACCTTCACCAAACAGCGTCTGTAGCAAAAATCCGCGTCAATAGCTGTAATACATAAGTCCATCATAGTAATTGTGTACGCACCACACGTGCACGGAGCTCCATGCCGCGAGCAAAAGTTCCCTTGGGCTTGCCGTCCTTGCCGACACCGACATCACGCGTGGCAATGCCGCCCACTGAGCCGTCCTCACGGTACAGCACTTCGGAAGCCGAGAAACCCGGGTAGATCTCGACACCAGCCTCCTCGGCCTGCTCGCCCATCCAGCGGACGAACTTGCTGAGACTGATGATGTAGTTGCCTTCATTGTGCTAAAAGGCCGTTCAAATCACAGAGGAAAAAACGGGTCGATGTTAGAAAAAGATTTTGTGTTGCTCACCACCAGAATTTGATACAAAAAGTGACTCACCTCCTCACGAGGCAAAAGGAAGTGCGGCAGACCAAGCGACTTGTCCTCTGTCAACAGTAGGAACTTGTCTTTGGTCACGGGCGTGTCCAGAGGGGCACCCAGATCCTTCCAGTCGGGCAGCAGCTCGTCCAGCGCACGTGGCTCGAACACATTGCCTGACACAATGTGAGAACCCACCTCGGCGCCCTTCTCGACCACGCACACAGACAGATCCGTGCCCTTCTCGGCCGAGAGCTGCTTCATGCGGATCGCGGCCGCGAGACTCGCAGGGCCGGCGCCCACCTGTCAGCAATAGCGTAACCGATCGATGAGTATAACCATCACTTCAATTCCGCACTCAATGAAATTACCATCACTCTGCAATCTACGTACCAGCAACACGTCGTAGTCCATGGCCTCGCGCGGCTCGTTGAGCATCTCTTGCTCCTCGGCTGTGAGCGCAGCGGACGACAGGAAGCGCGAGTGTGCAGCGAGCGGCTGACGCTTAAGTGTCTGAAGCTTCGTGCGCAACGACAGCGAGCGGCGCCACATGATGCGAAGGTCTCTACTTCTCTTCTTGGGCTACTTGAGCACGAGCTCGGGATTTCCGCAATGGCGGTCTGCACCCTCACGTCCGCCTGCACGTCACACCCGATCCAACAGCCACACCCTACAAAGCCGTGCTCCTGTCCGTAGATTGGCTACTTCCTGTACAAAATTCGATGATTGGTGAAAATTCGATTCTGGCGGTCCAAGTATCTTTTTGCAAGATCGACGTGTGTTCGATTTAGAAATACGTGTGCACCAACAGCTCCGTCGGCTCACGATTTCTAATTGTAGCGTCGATGCAACCGGCCTTGTTCGACATCCAAGGTCTGAGGCGGGAGCTTGTTGCTTTAACATTTCCAATTGTTGCTGCGACCGTGGTCCGGAGCAAGTGAGCAAGTTTTGAACACCAAGAATCAATTGACGTTAAGAATCTACATGTACAATACGTCGAGCCAAGATCACTTTTCAGTGTAAATCTCGCGGAGAATGCAGAATAATTGCTTCACAACGGAACATTGGACGGCGAGTATTCAACCATGGTCGTTTTCCCATCGTCCTCGCCGTGCAGTCCGAGTCCACTCTCTCGTCATTGATCTTGAGCCGTTGCTAGTGGTGGCTCATCCAGCGGTGCAGCTCTGAGCAATGCCAGCGGAATGCACCACGAGCACTGCCCACAATGCATTACATGCATATCCTTCTTCCAAACTGCAGATTGGATCGCAGCCTTGTTGTTGTTGCAGATCGGTGCATCCAATCACCTGATTAGACGAAATTGAAGTTCAAAGTGACCTATATGCAGTAGCGAAAGCAAAGCGAGCTTCCAGCAACAGCAGCAGCACTGCTTCCAGCAGGCTATGCTGGAGAGCTGGAGCCTCAACGCGCTTTCGCAACTGCCCAATGACGTCAAGTCGTTGTTTTCTCACCCGTTATCCGTCGATATGTGCGACGGTCTCAGCACTCAGACCCGGCCATGTTGTGTCGCTTGTGGCAGGGATTGGCTCGTTCATTTTGCTGCTTGGGTTCTCACCTCAAGAGCTTTCGATCCCATAGAAACGAGGACTTTTGGCCTACATGATGGGGTAAATCGCAGAGGGCTGTCATGCTGGACTTGATGACGCTCCGCCCAATGGTACGTGGTGCAAATCTTACTACTGACGTGGATCATAGCCCGACAAGAGACCCGTAATGACGCGCACATCATCTTAGCTTGGACGTTAAAGAGGCGCAGTATTGGAATTGCGCTTCACGATGGTTGTCCGGTGCATATTACAATGACGGCGGCGGTGCTTTTACCAGTCCCTCCGGGAACCACAGAGCGATCTCCTTCTCGGTATGGATACGTTTGTTGTTTGAGAGTTCTACTGGTTTCATCTCCGTTGCGCTTCACAAGCTGCAGCACATTGACGTTGCCTGGGTAATTGAAGTGCAAGCACTCTGCGTCATTTGCGGCCTGGGGCTCCGCGATAGCTGGTAGTCAACTGACATTTTTGCTGCGTATTCGACGCGGTGGCGAATGAACCTGCCTCACCGAGTTCGCGCTACAGCTGAAATCATTGTGTTTCACGCTAAAGAAAACGCTTCAGCTGCTGCTTGTGTTGATAATTGACTACTTGTACTAAGTACAGGATATAATAGCACCCTGCACTCGCTTTCTTACCAGCAATTCATCAAGAACACTTAAACGTTATCTTGGCCTGCTGCAACGAATTAGATTTGACGGCCTTGAATTGTTTATTGCAAGTGCAGCACTTCTTGTCACCGCATCCAGAAGGTGTAGATGAAACAAATGTGCTGTGTTCGCCACGGTCGGCGATTGGATTATGGTGAGGTACAAAACGTAGTAAATACTACTAGCCTAACTTGAGGCGAGCTCTACGTCGTCATCGTTCGCTTCAGTTTTTTTTTTTTTTTTAACTTGGCGTGCAGCCAGACACGGTCCATAGTGACTCCCTTCTTGCGATTGCGTAGTCGAACTGTACAGTATTCGTTCTCTAGTACTTGAAATCCAGCCTTTTCGAACAGCTCCGCGAGAACTTCGCGCGAGAAAAAGTAGGCCAAGGTGCCGTCGCTGCGGTAGTACAGACTTGGGCCCAACTTCTTTGCGTTGCGTCGCATGGCGAGGTCGTACAGCCCGTAGTCTCGGAAGCAGACAATCCCTCCAGGTCGTAACGCCGCGAAGATCTTTTGCAGTGTTTGAGCGAATGATTCTGGTGGTAAGGCCGAGAGTACAAACACCATCAACACAATATCGATGGACTCTGGAGCGACTCTCGTCAGCTCCTCTTGCGCAATATCGCACACGAAGGCTCGGCATCGCTTGGGGTCATACTCGGGATTGTGCTGAAGAATATCAATGGCGTGTGCGCTAAAGTCACATACCTGTGCGTGGATATTGGGACATTCGGCCAGAATGGGGAAGATGGCACTACCGTAGCCACATCCAAGCTCCAGAACTTCCACCACCTCACGTTCTGGTGCGTAAAGCTCGGGGAACTCCTTGACGAGATAGTTGCGGGGTTTGTACACCTTGCCTGGATAAGCGGAACATCAACGACAACGTTGAGTCAGCTTCAACAACCTGGGGTTTGAAGCGCAATGACAGCCAGCCAACCATTATTGCGCTGGTGGAAGACGTCCCACTTATCCTTGGCCTCCTTGGCAAGCTGCTGCGTCTCGAGGGGCCCCTCTTTTACCTCGCCTTCGACCACTTCGTCACGTTCCTTCGCGTGCATCTCGCATTCTCGAGCAAGGTCTTCCCACTCGAAGTCACGCGAGTGCAGCTGCACTTCGCGCTTCGGCTTGAGTTTATGGTCTGCCATGATAATGGCAAATGAAAAGTCATGTTGAGATGCTTGACATGTCATTAAACACAGGTAAGCAAAACAAAAAGAATTTGATTTGATACTTTTTTTTAATGACATTTATCGTTACATTTTTTGCTTAGCAGCAACATAATATTAATTCAACAACGAATGGCACAAGCAAAGGAGAAGCGGAAGAAGAACAGTGCAGGCCGCGTGAAGAAGGACCCGCTCGTCATAAAGGGCAGTGATAAAAATGCTGTGCGCAAAGGTCACGTAGTCTGTGTCACCAGTGTTCCGTCCGCACTGTGCGCCAGCGAGCGCACTGTACGAGACTTTTTCGCCGAGTACGGGATGCTGCTATCCGTCACGGTGCGTCGTTTTCACTTGCCACATTTACATTATTCATTTCAAAATGACACCTTTTGTACTTTCCAATGGTAACAGATCCACCATAACTTTTTGGACATGAAGCCAGATGGGTTCATGTACTTGGAATACGCGGAGAAGGGGGAAGCAGAAGCTGCCATCGCTGCAGTGAAGGAGAAGAGTGTGGGTCTAGCAGCTCAAACGGACGTCAGGTTCACGAGGGCAATAGATCCTGCGGATATTACGGGGATGAAAGCGGTGTTGGCGCTGCCTCGAGGAGAACCGAATTTCCAGGTGGATGAAAGCATGAAGGACATTTTGTTGGGCAGACTGGAGATCAACCGCTTCTCGCAGAGCCAACAGGAACAGACGATGGACGAGGACGATCTCATTCTGCAGAGTCTGTCGCAACATTCGTTTACCAGCTCCCAACCGAAGAAGAAAAAGAAGCGCCAGAAACACCCGGAAGACGCCACGTCAAGTAAACTGAAAAAGGCCAAGAAGAAGAAACCGAGGTTCGATAAGGTGGCTCTACCCACCGAGTAGATCCAGATCGTGGATATTATTAACAATAGGTTAGATTATTGCAACGAGGACGATGAACGCTTCTCCTTCATGCGCCGTAAAAGCAGCTGCATCCGCTCGCTGGACGAGCATGTACACGTGGTGTGGCCACAAGTCGGACACTGTTGTAACTTAGCCTTCTTATTAGGAAGTTCACTGCTCACGAGGGCTTCACGGCGTGGAGTAGTTGACAACAAGGCTACTGGTTTCGCATTGTCTTCTCTAGACGCCCCACCTGCAAGTGCAACTCGAGGGTCTTTGTCGTCTTCGTCTGACGCGAACTCATCAGAGCTTGAAGGTAGTTCGACAACTTCAAATTCTTCGTCTCCAGATCCGTCCTTCCAATCATCATCTTCGTCGTCATCTTCATCGCTACAAGTCCCTGTGACGGCTGCTTGTGTTCGTTCATCGGTATCTGATTGGAATGTTCCATTGTTTGTTGTCCAATTTGCACCGAGAGGTGCAACAAGCGTGGACGTCACTTTGCGCTTTGCACGTTTGCTTGACCCAGTCTGAGAGTCCGTGACAGACAGAGCAGCTCCATTAACGCTCTTGCCAACAATTCGTCTCTCCAACGCAGCTAGAGCGCGTTTCATGCGTTCATTGCCAGGCTGTCCTAGGTTCTTCAGGCGAAGTGGATGTCGAACGCGCGGGGAGCGCTTGTCGCTTGATGGCTCCTTCGCATCACGAGACGGAGACAGAGGCGGAGATCGAGAACCATTCCAGAGTGAGTTAGCACTGAGAACAGACTGATCGTCCGAGTCGGACATTAGCGTATCCTGCTCAAACGTATCACCACTTGCTTCATCCTCGCCATCCTCATCACCTTCGTCGTCATCCGTAAATTCCAACTGCTCGAAATCCGAGTCGCTCCCTTCGTTCTCAGACGACAGTAATTCATCATGCTCATAGTCACTGTCATCGTCTTCTTCCTCGCTCTCCTTCTGCGCCATTCGAGCGTCCATAAGAACAGTAGCTTGAGGCATTCGAGTCATATTTGTTGTCGACGTTCCAGCTAGATCAGACGGCATCGCAATCGGCATAAACTCTTGCATCTGTGTGCTCCCAAGAGAATGAGGCACTCCACTGTCCGCGACATCAGCATCCAACTGGTTCTTCTGCAATTTATCCTTGGCATCATTGTCTTCGTCCATAAATGACGGCCAGTTGTGCATACACGTTGAGTTCAGAAGCGTAGCCGGGCTTATAAATGACCACGACGAGAAAAACAGAGCTGGATGCAGATTTTTCGTCCTGCATGAAGCATCAGATTCCTTCTTCTGAGCAGCACTGATAAGAGACGATATGCCGGGGGCAAAGTCAAGACCGAAGGAAGACGTGTCACCAGCTGATTGACCCATAAGACTGCCTCGCATACCTTGACCGAGTTGCTGCAGCTGTAACGCTGCATCCAGCTTCGCCTTCTCCGCTTCTCCTGTTTGTCGCAGCATTCGATGTCGTAATTTGTCCTCTAGATACTCCTTCATGGCCACCGCAAGATCAATCGAGTCATCTTCGGGTGCTGTTAGGCCGATTTCAGCAAGATCAGAGCGGAATTTCGCCGCAAGCCGCTCCCAGCGCTTCCTAATCTCGAGTCGACTGCGATGCGGGAGATAATTCGTGGCCAGACGAGCAAAATGATATTTTTCCTTGTGTAACTCAACGAGACCGCGAGCAATCCTAAGATCCTCTTCAAGTAGCCAGCTGTTGCTGTGGTGTTGCGGCTGGGACTTCAAATGTAGCGCTTTAACAGCATTCATCGCGATTTTCGGGCGGGTCAAATACTTGTATCGATGCCGGATATTCTGTGTGGTCTTGGTCGGAAGAAAGTGCTTCTGGATTTGCTCCCACGACTCCGCTTGAGTACCAAATCGTTTGGCTCCGTGAGCCAGCAAAGTGTCTTCAGTCGTCGAATAGCCTTTCTTGCTTTTCCGGCGTTTCTTCGCAGTCTGCAAGTGCGTGTCCAGCTGCAACATTTGTTCTTGGATGGCACGATCACGCTCTTCAAGCGAACAACCTCGCGCAAAGCCAGCTGATAATTCATCCACCGTTTGTGATCCCACCAACTCGAACATCGACGGGTGGGCCACTGCTGCATGAGCTGCTGTCAGTGACCTTGTCACACGTCGCGCCGCCAACAGATTTTCAGTGCCGGTGGTGCTTTCTTCCAGTCTAGACGGGTCTCTATCAGACGAAGTCTTGTTCGCGTCTACTCCTTCAGTGGTTGATCCACCAGTACTCCCTGACACCGCTGGATTCAGTTTCGACAGCAATTCGTTCTTGTACTTAAGCGCCTTCTCACCTCGCTGTTGCAGTTCCTCGATCATTGCTCGACACTCCGTTAGCGCCGGTGACGGTGGTTTACTCGCCAATAAATGATAACTCTGCAGCAATAACTGCAAATGTTTATGCATCTGCGATGCCAGTTGAATGCATTGCTCTTGTGTAACTGCTCCTGGTTTTCTGCGTAGCACGGCCGGCGTAGTTTGACTGAAACTCATCACCCTTGGTGACTTGGTGGTTGCATTATTCTTCCCTAAGTCTCCAGCCACCGAAGCAGCAATTGGTATCATGCCTTCACTGACATTATCAACAGTCAGAGGTTCGTCCCGAGTTGATTCAAGAGCTGGCACCGCTGCCGGTAGCTTCGGGAACGTCATTTGTGTCGAGTCAAGTAACAGATCGGTCAGCTCCTTCTTGGAGATGCCTCGACGAGCTTCTTCATCCTCATGGTCTTCTTCTTCTTCTTCGGGTTTGTACTCCTCGTCCTCCTCGTCCAAGAATGACAAGTTCACCTGCTCATTGGGCAACAAACTCGACAGGAATCGCTGGTATTCGCGGTCTTCCTCTGTCTCCGGTACCCCCTGTAGCAGTACTCACGCATTAGCTCTAGCCACATTAACAGTGCGGAATAATCTCATTATTTTTGGCGCCAAATCCAAAAATTGTGATTTGAGTGGTGATTTTTGGCGCCAAAAGTTCGTACCAAGTCGAGCGGAGCGTCCGGAAGTGAGGCCTCTAGCGTGTCAATGGGCACGTCCACAAGCGAAAACTTGGTACGTGTGCGGCCGGCGATGGTATCCTCGTCTGTTCCGGCGTCTAGAGCGTCGGATTCGGCCGCTGGGTCGCTGGGCGCCTCCTCCGACATAGTGAGCTTACCCGCGCTTGTGAAGGTTTGGCGTGCATCAAAGCGCGCAAAAGAAATCTGCGACGTGTGAGAAAGAGTAAAACCTCGACGAAAAACCTTATTCAGTGAAGAACTTTGTACGTTATGTAAGCTTTTCTGGGACAACAGTCAAGTACGTCAGCAAGGATGCAGCGAAGCGACGCAGCATTCACCATGTCTTGTCGCTTCAGCTTCCGCTCATTGTGCAAGTTACCCGTCGCTGGTCAACTTACTTATTCGCAATGGCTCCTACTACTTCCTACTCGACGTCAGCAACTATGGGCAGAGTCGTGGGCACTTCAAATGCAGCGGAGGCTAAATCCAACCTTGAGTTCGGAACGTCGGTCATCAACACCAACTTTGAGCCCCGTACCGGCCCAGACTACAAGACCTTCATGCTTGACAAGGCTTTTGTAGCCAGCTTCGAGAACCAGACGCCGCCTTTCGGCTTCAACGGTCTTGGCGAGCTCGTGTACATGCGTACGTACTCGCGGGTCAAGTTGGACGGCACCAAGGAGCGTTGGTTTGAGACCATCGAGCGCGTGATTAACGGCACCTTTAATATGCAAAAGAAGTGGCTGTTGCAGCTGGGCCGTCCATGGGACGAAGAAGAGATGAACCGCATTGCCCAGGAGATGTACACTCGTATCTACCAGATGAAGTTCACGCCTCCTGGACGCGGTCTGTGGGCTATGGGATCACCGATCACTGAGGACCGTGGTCTGTACGCGGCACTGAACAATTGTGCTTTCGTATCGACAGCTGATATACTTGAGATCGCGACTCCATCCAAACCATTCTGCTTTTTGATGGAGGCGGCCATGCTTGGTGTCGGAGTGGGTTTTGATACCAAGGGTGCCGGGAAACTGCTAGTACAAGGCTGCGATGAGACCAAAACAAATACCTACGTCATTCCAGACTCCCGTGAAGGCTGGGTGGAGTCCGTGAAGTTGCTGCTGGAGGCGCATTTCCTTCACCAACCAGCCTTGAAGTTCGATTACACTTTGATCCGTCCAGCTGGTGCTCCGATCAAGGGCTTCGGTGGCATCAGCTCCGGCGCCGGCTCGCTGACTGCTCTGCATGTAGCTATCGAGTCCATTCTCAAACCTCTCGCAGGTAAGCTATTGACAGCGCGTGGCATCGTGGATATCATGAACCAGATGGGTGTCTGTGTGGTTTCAGGCAACGTCCGTCGTACTGCTGAGATTGCCTTCGGTGACTACAACGATGAAGAGTATGTGGACCTGAAGAACTACAAGAAGAATCCCGACCGTGCTGCGTTCGGTTGGACGTCTAACAACAGCATTTTTGCTGATATCGGGATGGATTATAAGCCTATTGCTGAGCGGATTGTGCGGAATGGCGAGCCCGGTTTCGCGTGGCTTGAGAACATGCGTAACTTTGGTCGTATGAACGGTATCAAGGACGATCGTGACTGCAACGCATGTGGTGGTAATCCGTGCCTGGAGCAGACTCTTGAGTCGTACGAGATGTGCTGTCTAGTGGAAACTTTCCCGTACAACCACGACAGTCTCGAGGATTTCCTGGAGACGCTCAAGTACGCATACATGTACGCCAAGACAGTGACTCTCGGCCAGACGCAATGGCCACGAACGAACGAGGTGATGAAGCGCAACCGCCGCATTGGTTGCAGCATGTCCGGTATCGCTCAGTTCATCTCGAACCGTGGTCTTAACGAGTTCCAGCGTTGGTGTGAGGCAGGTTACGACAGGATCCAGGAAGTGGACAAGCAGATTTCGACTCGCTTTGCCATTCCTCGGTCTATCAAGACCACGTCTATTAAACCTAGCGGAACGGTGTCGCTGCTTGCGGGTGCCACTCCAGGCATGCACTACCCTGAAAGCCGCTTCTACATCCGCCGCATGCGTCTGGACAAACATTCCAACCTTCTACCTACGCTGCAGCGTGCTGGGTACGAGATCGAGCCTGCCCACGAGGCTCCAGACTCCACGTTCGTTGTCTCCGTACCGGGGTGTCGAATTTTCTGTACTAATCCTGTCCTAAATGTCCTACAAAATCCTAAAAAACGTCGTAAATTACTGGAATAGATTGCATAATGTATCCTAAAAGTGTTCTAAATCCCGAAATATATTCGAATCCTAATACTGTCCAAAACTAAAAACCGGTATTTTAGACGGAAGTTTAGGACACATCCTAAAACCTATTTTGAGTCAGAATTTGGATTGAGGTTATTTAAAAATGACGGGAACCAATCATGCAGAACTACATTGTGTACGTATCTGTTGACACTTCTCAACTTCGTCCATGGAGCACAAGAACTACCGCTTCTGTAAGAAGCGCACCGTAGTGGAGACAGGAACAACCTATTTCAGCTGCGTGAAGTTCCGGGCAGGCTGTCCAGCACGTCTTGTAGTCAAGAAGGGGGGCGCTATCATCGAAAGAAATGCCCACTGCTGCGACCAAGACATTTTAGAAGAGGTCGCAGACGTTCGCCGCGACATGTCGTTGGAGCTCCAAGATCGCGCCATTAAGGAGTTCTCTGTTGCACCTGGTGTTCTGTGGCAGCGCGTCTTTGATGAATTCCGTGCCAAGCATCACCCGTCCACTATCTACGGTATTGCGCGCCCGAATGGTGTTACAATCATTAAAAACGTGCGCCAGGGTGCCACGGGTGGCGATATTTTCCGTGCAGTTGAGGCTACACCGGTGCGAAGCATTAGCGACTCGGACCCGCGCCCGTTCCTACAATTCAGCATGGTCACCCCACCACCACCGGCATACAGCGCATGCTGTGCTTTGGGCATCCGGACTTACTGCGGATTCTACGGTACCCGCAGCTGACCCTATTTATCGACGGTACCTTTTCCGTGGTACCAAAGGGTTTCTCGCAGTGCCTTATTGCTATGGTCTATGATCCCAGTGTCGACGTATACGTGCCGCTACTCTACGTACTCGTCAATTCGAAAAGCCAAGAAACGTATTGGCGAGTACTAGAGCAGCTCATCATGGCTTCCGACCGCCTGCTGGAGCCTCGCGATGTTACCTGTGACTTTGAGCTTGCGTTAATTAACGCTGTGATTGAGCAGTTTCCTACAGCCAACATCGTTGGCTGCCTCTTCCACTGGAAGCAGGCTCTTCGTAGGAAGATGATAGAGCTGAAGATTCCCAAGGAACAGATCGCGGATGCCATGAAGTCTGGAAAGCTGGACGTGCTTACAGTCATTCCTGCCGAAGAAGTGCTGGACAAGGTACGTAATTTTTCTGTATTTACTTTCGAAAAATATGACTTATATAAATATACTTTTTTATTTATTTTATTTATGCAGGGACTACGGTACGTTCGAAGCATCATCGACGAGACCGAGACGAAAACTAAATGGACCGCTTTCTGGAAGTACTTTGTACGAACGTGGACGAAGAGGTTCGACATGTCGCTGTGGAACGTGAGCCAGATGCGGCGCAACAATGTGAGCATGACAAATCGGACTAATAACCCGCTGGAGAAGTACAATCGCGATTTTGCTGCTCGCATTGGTGCGCCGCATCCAAGTATCCTCGTCTTCATTGAAGCTGCAAAGAAAGAAGCTCATTCCTACGTAAAGCTGCTGGACGACATCAAGCATGGTCGGCAGAGCGCTCCTGCTCACGCGCGATCTGTGAATGTTGAAGTTCCTGGGGAATACACGGCGTTTGAGTAGGTATTCTGACATTCAGTAAGTCATAAGAGATATCTTGTTGACATGGGCAGTGTATAAGTTTCCTACGTGTCCTAACTGTCGTACGTGTCCTCACTGTCCTACGTGTTCTAAATGTCCTAGAATCGATGCCGAAGGTTCGTGCCAATACCGTCATTTATGACAGTAGGTATTAGGACAAGTTAGGACGTTTAGGACGCTTTTAGTACGGAAAAGCTTCTTCCCGTACCGGTGGATGTCGGCGAGGGTGTACGCACGCTGTCCTATGTGTCTGCATGGGAGCAGTTCGCTCTTGCGGCCTTTTTGCAGCGCTACTGGGCGGACAACCAGGTGAGCTGCACAGTGACGTTCGACCCGAAGACAGAAGGATCACAACTTGCTCACATGCTGGACTACTTCCAATACCAGCTGAAGGGCATCAGTCTGCTACCGAAGCTGGAGCTGGGCGCGTACAAACAAATGCCGTACGAAGAGATCAACGCCGGCACGTACCATAAGATGAGCCAGAGCATTCAGCCTCTGCAGTTCAATGTGATCCTGTCCACAGAGACCGTGATCAACATTCCCGACAAGTATTGCGAGGCCTGTGTGACGGATCCAGAAGCTTAATAGATCGCAAGCCATAATAAGATACTAGTATTAACGTCGAACATGTATCTCCGCTCTCGCTACTTCTCGTCTCGAGGTTCTGAAAGCCTTCATGCGATCTTTCTCGGCATCCCTTTTCTTCAGTGGCTATGAGCTCTTCAACATGGAACTCACTTCGCAATCAACGACCTTCACCATCACGCAAGCGACAGATTATCCAATCACCTCCACGCCAACGATGCTTCCTTCAGTTCATTCTTGAATTTGCAGCGTGCGTGGCAGGTCGACGACTACCGGAACGAGTAAGTCGCTCAGAGTGACGCTATGTCACCAGTCGACCAGACCAAAGAAACGTCGGCCAAGGCTTTGCTGGCTAATGGTGTCCAAGTCTTCAACGACCATCTAGCGTCCAAGATCCAAGCAGGTCTCGGACGCCCCCTACCTCAAATGGAGGTGAGAGTCAAGAACCTCAGCGTCTCGGCCG